GCTACCAAGATAGCCAGCATATCAGTCACATGCAATACTCTGTTATATACTCCTCACCTACAGTGCGAATACTCAAGTCGCCCTTCAAAACTCTGGATGACTTTAAGAATGTCGGGCATGCACGTTATCGCCCAGAACATAACCCAGCTGATTATGCTAAGGGACTAAGGGGCGAGGACTTGGCACCAGACAGCATCCTTCATTTCGATTTTGATCCGAAGGAGATTACCGCAGTGCTAAACTTGCTGTCATTTAGTGGATGCCAATGGCGTTCTGCTCCAGACATTGCTCTTACCGATCAACTCATACATGTCGCATCCAGCTTCAATATTCACCCTAAATCCTTCAAGAAGATTTCGTCCATTTTAAAATTGTCTAAGTTACTCTCGATCGAAGAAGTGAGCGATACCAATACTTTACTCTTAGAAATATTGGTATCAAATCCTTGCACAAGCGAGCTACGACGTGCTAGGCGGCTCGCAATGCGACTCCTGGGGTCACAAGAGAAACAAAGGAATGAAGGTCCTTCCACCTCGGGTGATCAACACGGCCATACAGTCGAGGAAATGCGTAGGCTGTCAGGCTGTTTATTATCTGCATCTGCATTAGGTCGGCGCCAGTGCGCAGATATAGAAGCATTAATTGCCGACGCCAAGAAAGGCAATCTACCATCTGTCCCATCTGTCATCAAGGCTGTTAAACTGGATGGTAGCAGCCTAGTAACACGCAAAAATGGTCAAGCATCTGGCAATCTAAACAAGCTCTTACAGGATCGTGAGCTAGGTTGCTCTGTGAGCCGGCAGATCAGTTCTCGTGTTTTGAGCAACCTCGAGCTTTCAAAGACTTGGAAAGGAGCCTCGAATGATGTTATAGTACTGGCGTGGTCTCCTGATGGAACCAAGTTTGCGGCAGGTGCTACAGCTCAATGTGATGAACATAATATGGAATACAACCGAGGGAATAATCTGATTCTCGGAGATTTGACCACTGATAGTCTGGAGGAATTGACAGGGCATTGGAGCCCTCGTCAGCCGGGGTTTTCAAGGGGAACTATAAATGATGATCGTCTGTTTATGAGTGTAACAGCTTGCCAATGGTTCGATGATACACTCTATACTGCTAGTTATGACAAGACTGTCAAACTTTGGAGATTTCCTAACCACAGGGCATCTTGCTACAAGACACTTAACCATGACTCCAAAGTCCAAGTTATGGCTCGGTCTAACTTTGCAAACAATGTGCTAGCGACAGGGACTCAGTCCGTCGGTTTCTGGCAACTAGATGAGTCAACGTACAATGTCTTGGATTTGCCTCGGCAGCGCTCTAAAAGAGAAATTGACCTTATACCAACTTCTCTGGCTTGGGGCACCACCCCAATAACAAAAGAGATACTAATCGCTGGGATGTCTGAAAAAGGTGATGGTATGACCCATAATGGTCTTCTTGCGGCGTGGCATATAGCCGAAGCATCACCCACTCCAATACAGTTAAGCCCAAATTCACAAAACATCTTTGATGTAAAATGGCATCCATCCCTTCCATTGTTTGCTACGGCAAGCTCCGCAAGAGGAGGTGGTATGACTTTGTTGAGTTCCAAGAATACCAGGTCTGTGGTCCGCCTATATTCACCACTCATCTCCAAAATGTGCACCATGGAACTTGAGTGCCCTGCCTTGGACATAAACGATGTGACTTTCTGCCCAGGCAATCCAAATTATGTGACTGCCAGCTGTACTGATGGGATCACCTATGTGTGGGACACGCGAAACCCGGACACTGTACTGCACAGGCTTCAACATGGCGAGCCGCTCAATCAAATAGATGAAACCCTTCCTAGAGAGCAAGCAGATGTTGGGGTAAGATTGGCATTGTGGGGAAACTCGGTAACCCAATTTTATACTGGAGCATCAGATGGTATCTTGAAAACCTGGGACGTACTGAGATCTCCTGATGATGCTTTTGTTCAAAATGTTGCTTCTTTTGGAGAGGAGATCATGTCCGGGGCTTTCTCGCCGGATAGATCCAATCTGTTGATCGGCGATGCTGCCGGGGGTCTTCATTTATTATCCGCTAACATCCTTGCCGATAAGAGCTTGTCTTTCAAATTCAAGCGCGCTTCTCAAGTGCCATTTGCTGGGCCTGATTCCGATTCTGAGTCGGGCATCATGGCTGCCCGTAAGGCCATCTTAGATGGTCATCTTTCACGCCATCCTATTTATGGTGTGGGCCAAGGCCCTCGTTACAATGGGCCTTACGCGGCATGGGCCCGTCCAGATAACACTCCTGACCATCAACTCGGGCAGACAAAGTTGAAGGAGGAATGGCAGTTAAGGCAGCTCGACGGTGCTCCCCCTGCTCTTCGACCTGGCTTAAATGATCAACTGCGGAGAGAAATCGAATGCCAGAGACAGCTCGCTCAGATTCGCAACGTGCAGCACTTGAATAAAAGGAAAAGGTTGGAACCTGGCCATTATACGAAACGTAGGGGCGTTCTTAGCGACTTATGCAGCGGTGATGGTTTCTGGACAGCGCCGGTCAAGCCCAAGCGACTAGCTACAGAATCAAAGCATTCCATCATTGAAAATGCAAACATCGAAATCATAGATCTTACGGGTGACAGTGATACGGAGTGTGCGAAGCCGTCAAACGAAGACTTGGCCTTTCCCACTATTCAAGATACAGAGGGCTACCCTGGAATTGAGCATCTACTAGAGGGGTTGGAGGATGATCACTGGTGGCCGTCTAGTGATCAAATAGACCCCAATTTCCACGATGCTGATGTGTAGTTTTGTAGCAGCCGGGTGATGTACTGTGCTAGTTGGCCCACAGTAACCTGGAAGAGTTTGCTACTGGCCTTGCATTCCATAGATGATATTGATGCCACTATTCGCAGTACAGCACAGCTAGGATGTGTAGATACCGATAGCTTGTATGTAGAATATGCAACTAATGTGATAAATCGCTCAAACGAGGATTGAGTAGTTCCACATAATTTTTCTATATTTGCCCATCTAGCGGTGAAAACCAGCGGCTATGCTGATATGAGATGATGAAACGGCAAGGTAGGAATATTCAGGTCTAGATACTCTGAATGCCCTCGCCCAGTGAAACAAAGAAAGTGCAAAGAAAATTCAGGCTCAGTCAAGGCTGTGAGATACCCCATCTAACGGTTAGATGACAACAAGGATTGTTAGAAAACGAGCATGTCTCGCGAACCCCAGAAAATATCGAGTAGCGCACCAGGTCCCAAGGGCTTCAACCGTTACCTACTATTTAGGTGCCTTGCAAAAACCATTGGGTTTATTGTCTAGATTAGTGAGTGAATGGCTTCGATTCAGTGCTTTCAAAGTACTTTGATTTTCTTAGGGTAGTCATATATAATTAACAGTAGATATCTATGATGATGACCTTGCATAGACATTGCTGATTCGATATTTTCGTCATTGGTTATAATGATCTAATCCATACCTCAAATGCAGCTATGTACCGATAATGATATCTATGCACCATCTCTACTATGTATAGGATCTATTGACCTCCATATTCTAAATATATACTCCGCAGTATAAACAAAGCAGCCCCACTACAAATACTAGGAATTAGGCGTGAGTGGCAACACCACGAACAGTAACAATCAATACACAAGGCGTTTGCCGGATTAACTCGAAAGCAATTCGTCTATAAATGCGGCAACCTATATTATCACGTGGCTGAGCCCCGCCACTGGGGCACTACGTACAGTATAGGTTATCTATATAATAAGCGAATGAAAAGTACAAGGCATCTACACGACCACCTCGTCCTTAAGTCGAGAGCCTGCTCACTAGATATTAAGCAGTCCACCTCTCCTAAAACCGAGACAAACGCAAGCGAATCTCCCCTACAAACCCGCTAAACTGTCAGATATTAATGTCGTTTGCCCCGCCTCCAGGACCCCCCCCTCCGGCTGTCCCGGAGGGGTGGAAGGCTCAGTTCGATGATCGGTATAAGCAATGGTAAGTATTTTCATCGCTTGGCTCTGCAGCTCAATTCTCTATTGACATTAACCCCGTCAAAAGGTTCTTTGTAAATCTGCGTACTGGCAAGTCCCAATGGGAATCCCCTCAAGGACCGGCACAAGAGGAACTGCATGCCCCTCCTAGCGAAGCACCTCCCTCATATGAAGAGTCCGGACCTGCAAATCCGTCCGCAGTACATGGTGCAAACGAGAAGAAAAGCCTGGGCTCGAATAATCCTTACAACCAGGCCGACGCCAGAAACAGTTCTCTGGACAGCGATGCCCGGCTAGCTGCCCAGTTACAGGCGGAGGAAGATGCCCATGCTCGTATCAGTAGAAGCCCGAGACAGCAAGCACAGCCTGGAGCCGCTGCAGATTACTATACAGAAGCCTCGCGGCCGCAGTCAATTGGATACCAGTCGCCTTCAACCCCCTCGCAACAAATAACCGATCCAGAGCAGAAGAGGAGCAGGGGTTTTCTGAGCAAGTTGATGGGAAAAGCATCCAGTGGCAGTGGTGGAAATTATGGAAGGCCATCTTCGCAGCAGCCACAGTCATACGGGTATCCTCCAGGCGGATATGGTGTCTATCCTCAACAACCCGCAGGGTATGGTTATCCTTCCTATCCGGCCCAACCAGGTTATTATCCCGCGGCGACACAACCAGCGCGGCGCCATGGCGGCGGTATGGGAACCGCAGGAGCTGCAGCTTTAGGTGTAGGTGGTGGTTTGCTCGGGGGTGCTTTGTTGGCAGAAGCTTTGGATGACCATGACTATAATGATTACGGCTCTGGCGGTTATGATGACTTTGACGGTGGCGACTTCGGCGATTTCTGATGTTACCATGGTTTCTGCATGGTCTTGTATTCTCTCTTCCCCCCCCCCCCCCCATTCTTTTTCTTTGCCTGATGGACGGCCATGCAGAGGGATGTACTATTATGGTCGCGATGATGGTTGCGTGCGTTGCTTATTATTATGCCTTTTTATGGGAGGGATTCACAATTGCTTCTAGGTTTATCTTGATTCTTAGGCTTTGATTGACACCTAGTAGGATATGATTAATGCCATAGATTGACCCGGATGTCTTTATTGCTCGAACAAGAGCTTTCGCTTATCCTCGTCTTCGTGCATTTCCACCTTCCCTGCCAGTCGCTACTCCCTGGAGGCCAGCGGGCTCTGAACCTGCTGGTTTTGGATGGGCGCCAGCCATCCACCCTGCGAAATCGAAGTTGCCTGGTGCACCGCCACCGGTGATAGCACTCCGAGTTGCACCAGAGATAGGAGAAGCCCGAGAGTGTTTTTCGAATTCGGCACGCATCTCGGGATCCACTGGAGAGATATAAGTAAGGGCAAGTATGCGCTATAAACACATCCATGATTGCGTCGCGCAGAGAAATGGTTATGATATTGAACTTACTATTCTCCATCAACTTCGGCATTCCGAATGTAAACCCCAAAGCTACTAGGGCGAGCAAGATCATAGGGTTCTTAAACAAAGCAAGAGGCGAGACTAAATCGATAAATCCATGAGCGTCTTGAAAACAACAAGTGTACTTCACACTGAAGACTCCTCCTTCCCAGGGATGCTCACATTTAGATCGTTCCTCGTAGAAGCCTCTTCTAGCTAGCACTTTAGCTTCCACTACTACTTCAGACAACTTGGCCGCATCGACAGAAGTAGCATCGAGGACGTATCTCTCCGCGCCACGGTTCTCCCATGGGTTCCCACGAAACGTCTCCCAAACGCCCAGCACCGTACCGTCTGCAGCGACATCGACCCGGTAGGGTGTGAAAACGTATTCTGCGGATCGGATATCAAGCAGGTAAGACTCGGGCTTTCCCGTGGAGTCCAGGTCCTGGAGGATGAAGGTCGCGGAGCGCGTCAGCGGGGCGGTCAATGAATGAGGAGAGACATGGCCAGTCTCAGATTGCGTTGACGGTGGTATGGACGTAAGAGTTGCGTGCGTGCCGGATGGGAGAGCATTGGGGTTGGGAAGAAGATTTGAAGGGGGAATAACGACCGTCAAGGCGGATGTCACCACGACGGAGGAGAGGAGGACAAGAAGAGAGGAGGTAGAGAAGCGGAACAGGCGCATGGTTTTTAAGAAAAGGGCTGCAATTGTTGGTTTGAAAATTTGACCACTTGGTGCAATTCGTCCGTATGCATCTGGGAAGATTTAATGGCAAGGACGAGTTGTTGCCAAGCTCCCGACTAAACAAGTCCGCCATGGCCCGAGATCACATGGCCTCTTACTCTTCTACCCACAGGAAAACAAACTACATTTTTAGGTAATGACCAACGTCCCAAGTCTAGCGGAATGCCAACATCCTTATCACTATGTCACAAGCTGTATATTTCACAGGAAGAACAGTTAAATCGGGTTGTATGTACAGCGCCCAGAGTCAGTTGCCCGTGCCAACTGCTCCAATACATATATGCTGCTGATATAATATCTAGAGAAAGAAAATACGATGAAAGTACACGTTTATAGCTTGGCTTTGGGAGCCGACTCTTCCGCCGTAGCTTGGGCGTAGAGCTCATCCAGAAGCTGGCGATACTGCTTCACCACCGGGGGACGCTTCAGCTTTAGTCTACACCCGCAAGAATTAGTACAGAACGATTTGATGATGGTTAAAAGCACTCACGTTGGTGTTAACAGGTTGTTCTCAACCGTGAACGGATCAAGCATCAAAGAGCAGTTCTTGACCCTCTCGTAGCCTGCCAGCTTGTGCTTCTTCGCAACCCTCTCGAGGTCCTTCAGCACTGCCTTTCGAATCTTATCGTCATTCAATACAGACCTGATGCCTTCGACATCGGTCTCACTGATGGAACGGCCGAGCACTTTGCTGGCGAATGCAGCGAATGCATCAGGCTGGACCCCGAAAATCCCAACCAAGAATGTCTGAACGCTGTCACCATGGATATAGCCCTGCGCAAAGTACCCCAGCTCGGAAAGATAAACGCCCTCCAACCGTTCTGGTGAGATGTACTCTCCCTGGGCTAGCTTCAGGACGTTTTTCCGGCGGTCAATGATAACGATCCGGCCCATTTCATCTATCGTACAGACATCGCCTGTCCGGAACCATCCATCTTCAGTGATGGCCTTGCTAGTCTCTTCGGGATTCTTGAAGTACTCCTTAAAAACGTTTGTGCCTCGGAGAAGCAGTTCACCACGGGGATAGGGTTTATCCTCAACAGAGTAATCCATGTCAGGAAGAGACGCCAAGCACGCTTCCGTGCAGGGTGCCAGGCGTCCACAGTTGCCAGCGGTCAGATCTTTGGAAGACTGGGCGCACGCCATGGCGTACGTCTCAGTCAAACCGTAACCCTGGACGAGATCAGCACCGGTAGCAACTCTGAGAAAGTTGTGGAGAGAAGGATCGAGGGGCGCAGAGCCTGAGACCATCATTCTCGTACGTTCTAGGCCTAGGGCAGCGGCGACCTTCTTGGACCATATCCGGTCATACAAGGCATGTTTAACAGTGGCCTTAGAGGGATCAGGATTCTTTAGGTTCGCTGTCTTAGTCGAAACGACATGTCTCGATAACGCGCCCTTGAAACCTGGCTGGTCCACAGTTGAGGCACGAATGGCGTTCCCAAACCGACTGTAAAGACGGGGAACCGACATAAACCCGGTGGGCTTCAGCAACTTAAGGTCATCGACCAGCTCCACGATATTCCCATGGAAGTAGCCGATCCGGGCACCCGCCCAGAAAGCTGCATGCTCTGACAAACGTGCATAGATGTGAGCTAGCGGAAGATAGGACGCTAGTGTGTCACCAGCGGCCTGCTGGGTAGTAACAAGGGCCCCCGCAGTGGCTGCAACGGCGTTCTCATGCGTCAGCACAACACCCTTCGGAGGGCCCGTGGTACCGGAGGTATAGTTAATGGTGACGATGTCGGAAGGCTTAGGGGCGTTGTACGGGCGATTCGAAGTGGCACCCAGTTCCTCAACCTGATCTATCGTATAAATCGAGACGTCTTGTCCGGCTGCCACTGACTCCAAAAGGGATCGCTTTGAGTGGCCAGCTTGTTCACCTCCATCAAGAGGATCCAAGCTGATGATAATTTTCAGATTGGGTAGGAGAGGCTTCAGCTTGAGCAAAGTTGGGATGTGCGGCAATGAGGTAACGACACAGTGCAGCTCTGCGTGGTTTATAATATACTCGGTTGCGTCTGAGGCAAGAACATCATAGATTGATACGGAATACAAACCCTGAGACATGCATGCCAGATCTGTAACACCGAATTAGCGCCATCTAAGGACAGGGAGTAGAAAGCAATCCGATACCTGTAATTTGCCATTCTGGGCGATTCTGACACCACAGTCCGATACCGTACTGGCCAGGACGATGGCAATTGTGTTTGTGGTGCAGTTCCACCAACCCGGCACCGAAATCAGCCCGCCGCTTTTGAACCGCCTGGTAATCTAGCCACTGGTATGGGCCGAAGGTCTTGGTTGTCGGGTTGTACGGGCGCCATCCCAGGCAATGATTTTTCGGAACTCGGGTTGCGGTCGACTCGAAGAGGTCATGCGCAGTGAGAACCTAACAAGAGAGATGTCAATACTAAGCCGCGCCAAGCTCTAAAATGTACACTTACCTGTGGATCCAATGTCCTCACGAGTTCCTTTTGTGCAAGATAGGCACGGTAGACCTTACTCCGTCCGGGCTTCTCAGTCCCAGGAAGGGCCACCGAATACGGCGAGCCCTTTGGAGGCTCTTGCCTCAACTCGTCCGCACGAGCGAGGTGGACGGGCTGTTGGCTAAAGAACATTGCGACAGTTGCGACCTATGTTGACAAATAACCTGGGGAAAATTAGCTATGTATATAATCTTCTACATGAAACTGAAGCCATGTATGTTATCTCAATGTCAAGGGCGAGATATAATCATACCAATACTCAGGCCCAGGAAGAGAAACCGATCAAGGCTGCGAGAGGGGAGTTTCTGGTGGTTTCCGTAAGTGGAATTTGCAAGCCGCTGCCCTTTCGAACCAAGGTGAGCGTTAGTGAGTAAGCCCGAAGATAACAGTTGAAAGAAGGTACTACCCGGTTGGGAGGCGTCTTGAAGAAAAGAGATAAAAGATTAAAAAAGAGAGGAAAAGAAGTGGTTAAGGAGAAGAAGTATGGACCTGGCGGGAAGTTTGGGGGGGGGTCCCAAGCCATGGGGAAAAAGTAGAGCGCTGAGTGGCCGAGCCATACCCACGATGTCTCTTTGCCTCCACGCGATGTGAAACGAACCTCGGCACTTACCCGGTTCATTGAGTCCGGGGAGGGACCTATGGATTACATGGATATCTCTCCAATTTAGTTCGTTAAGGTGGGCGGTGTGGGTTTCCACGTTTTCTTTGGGGAATCCAGAGCGATTAGTTATCCTTATTCTGTATTTCACTGTTTGTTGAAAGTGCCGAGGCCATTGTGACCGGAGCAGGAAAGTCTGTGTTTCTCAACTGGAGCCCATCCTATTCTTTCGCGGGCTTTTCGGTCGAATCGGGAGTATAGATCTATTCGTTACTTTTCTTTCTTTCTACGTATTCTGCTACTGTTCATTATATGGAGTACGTATCTTCCGGGACCCCCATGACGATAAATAGGACTCTCCGAGAGCGGGTTGACGTCATAAATTACTCCCAATTGACATACTATGTATGTATGTATTGTAAGATTCTCAATGTAGTACTGTTGCAGTACGACGGAATATGGACCCGTGACAATCCATGCATACATCCAAATTAAGTTGCATAAAGATCATCCATCCCGTGATGCCTTGCCTTCTCTCACATGCTTTCTGGTTTAACCGAGTTACTGCTACCTCTTCGTGTCCCTCCAGAAGAGAATGGGTTTCTTAATCTTTTTTGTTACCCACTTGATCTTGATTGATTTATTTTATTTTGATTGCCCCATAAGGAGTTCATCTCTACACATAAACCACAAAAGCATGAAGGTAAAAAAAATAAATAAATACATAAATAAATAGGAAAAGAAAAAGGTAAGCAAAGATAATCCACCCCTTCTAGAAACTGATATGTCTGTATGGAAGGTGTATGCGCCTTGATCGGCCTTCGCATGTGGTGAATTCCATGTGAAGTTACCCCGGGCCACATGAACTTTGCATTCTCCTGATGGCTTCTTACCTAGGCACGAAATAATAGGGTGCTCGTTTACCCAGTTATCGCTATGTAACCAATGAAAGTATCTTTATGTGAAGTGTCGAAATCAGTTTGTTCTTTGATTCGAGATCAGAGGTAGTATATCACAGCCAATCAACCAAAACTCCATGCCATGCAAAAAAACTAGGGAAAGATCGAATATTGTACAAAACGGAGGGAAATGAATCAGCCTGAAGAACCCGTGTATATATGACACCCTCATCCATCGTCCCACCATGCAAGTTCGGTTTCCTTTGAGTCGACAGCGAGCAGCCTACTCAAAGATAAATATATGTCTATAACACACACACATATATATAAATGTGCTCGTCTCCTATGTGCAAAAGAAGCAAATCAAAATAGAAGATTATAAAGGAAAGACCTGGAATCGCTCGAAAGTGCCAGCGATACTCTCGTGGGTAATTCAAACGTCTCATTTAACCTCGAAACGAGCGGAAGATCCTTTGATACCACTTCGTCGTGGTGGTTTCCCATGACTCGTTTTCAAGAGCAACCCTACCCGTGTCGATATCGGCCTCGAGTGGGGGAACAAACGACGTGCGATAAAAGATTTTATGTCCCAGATAGAGTACCACGAAGAGAATCAAGCTGATATAGGCGATAAAGAAATCCGTTACACTGAAACTTGGGATCCAAGCAGTGAAACCTTGAGTCAAAATAATCAATGTGTTGAAGAAAAGCCCATACCAGGAATACCAGGGCTGCCACATCGCTTTAAAGGGAAGAAGGTCACGAGACATATTGCGAGCTTTCAGAGCTCGCATGAACGCAAGGTGGCAGGCATTTAGGGAACACCAAGTGATGAAGCCTGCCACACCCGCGATGTTGAGGAGCCAGTTGAACACCGTACTACCAGCATTAGACACATTCATAAAACCGAGCAAGCCGAACGCTGCAGTGAACATGACGCCGTAGTAGGGCACTCCCTTTTTCGACGTTTTCTTGAACCAGCGCGGGGCAAGCCCTTCTTGAGCCAGGCCGATTAGGATACGGCTACCACTGTAGACATTGGAGTTGGCGGCGGAAAGCACAACAGTTAACAGGACGGCATTGATGATATGAGGCAGGACCTTGACGCCCGCAAGTCTGGCCGCAATGACGAACGGTGAAGAGTTTGCATCGTTTCCATCCTTAACCAGGTCTTCGTTGGTGTAGGGCACCAACAGGCCGATGAAGAAGATGGTCAATACAAAGAAGAACAGAATGCGGTAGAAAGTCTTGCGGATCGCAGAAGGAATGGTCTTGCGGGGATTTTCAGTTTCGCCTGCTGCAATACCAACCAATTCCGTGCCCTGGTATGAGAAACCCGCCTGAATAAGCACAGCCCAAAAGCTCACGAATTTGGCTGTTGAGTCTGGAGAAATATCGGCGTAAGGTGCGAATGGACCTGGATTAGTCCAATAGGTGAATCCCAGATATCCTTTATCACCGACCCCTGCATCAATACAAATTGCAAAGATCATGAATCCAATAACCGTGATCACCTTGATACTAGCAAACCAGAATTCCAGCTCACCGTAAAAGCTAACAGGTAGGAAGTTGAAACAAGTAATAACCACCCAGAACACTGCGATGAAAATGGCGATGTTGATATCCTTGTCCCAAAACTGTATGATCAAGCCCGTCGCAGTCAACTCTAGTGCAAAGGTGCTGGCCCAGGAAAACCAATAGATCCATCCCATGGCGAAACCAAGACTGGGGTCGATCAATCGAGCTGCGTAGGACGTGAACGCTCCTTGAATTGGCAGATAACTTGCTATTTCGCCCAGGGCCTGCATGACGGAGTACACGATAGAGCCGACGAAGAGATATGCAATCAAAGCGCCTACCGGGCCTGCTGTACCGATGGCGGTGCCACTGCTGATGAAAAGACCTGTACCAATTGTACCACCTGATTCTAGTCAGCAAGGGTTCTTTCCGTGGGCGAGTCCCAACCAATAACG